AAAAGAAAATTATTTCTAAAATAATAATAAATATAATTATTTTATAATCGTATATAACTATATATACATATAAGTCATCTTGTTTTTTTATAATATATAATATATATTATAATATATAATATATAATAAAAAAATATATCAATATTAATAATGTGTAGAGCGATAAATGTATATTGTTAAATATATTTTTTAACATAGAATCATGAAATTTATTCCATATTATCATTATTGTTAACTCAATATTAGAAATTGCTATTTATCTTAGAATAGAATTTAATATTTAAAAATACAAATAAATTGTATTATTTTCAGATATACCTTTTCGAGGCGAATATTGACAGGGTTAATATTCAGTTGTATAGGAGATGCATTATTGGTTTGGCCCAGTTGTTTCACACCTGGAATGTGCATGTTTGCTTTAGCTCAGATTATGTACATCAGTGCATTCGGTTTTATACCGCTTAACATAATGCTAGGTACAATTTTATATGCGATGTGTTCGCTAGGTAAGATATGTGTGTTATATCCATAAAAATTAATAAATATTCCCATTATAAAAATATATAATAATAAATAATGAAAATATTATCAATGATAGATTTTTGATAATATCAATGAAAAAATTGAATAAATTTTGACGAAATAAAACAAATCATATTTTTCAGTCATATATACTTTAATGCCTGGTCTAAATGGAATTCTGGTTATTGGAGTTCCAGTTTACACGGTATTATTAACTACTATGGCATGGAGAGCAATTTCTAGAGTACAATTTTACAAAGTATAGAAAAAATTTAAAAAAATTGTTTTGTTTACATGATGTTTTCCAATATTAATTTATTAAATTTTACGGATTATGCTGCTTTTATCTCTTTATTTAATACAAAGTTAATAGATCAATTAAATTACATGTTATATTGAATATAATATGATTCACTGATTTGATTAGACATGTGACAAATCATGTAGAAATATAATAAATAAAATAATTTATACCAAAAAACATACTTGTATGATATACCACGTCTTTTTTTTTTCATCGAAAATAATGAAAAAGAAATTATGTTATATAAATAAATAATGATTTTAAAAAGTTATTAATTATTTAGATTAAAGATATATTATTATTATTATTAACTTTCCTATCACATTCATAAAAGAATTATATAGAATTGGAAAACATTGTGTTAAAAAATAATAAAATTTCCACTTTTTTATGCGATTTATCAAATAAATCATATTCCTTCGTCAGGAATTATGGACGTGGACTAAATTATGTAGCTGCATCGGCAGTATATGTTTCCTCATATCTGATACTTTACTTGGATTTCATTATTTTCATACACCATTACCTTATTCTCAGGTATAGTGATTATATAATATTTTTATAAATAAATTTGTCAATATGACTTTTTTTTATTAATTACTTAAAGCTATTTTTCAGGTTTCTATAATGTTAACGTACTATGCAGCTCAATTAGGAATAGCTTTGAGTGCAGTTGGTTCTAAAAATAATAATAATAATAATAATAATATCAACAACGATAAAAAAAATGACGTAGCCTTAATGAAAGGCTAAGAGAAGATTTTGTCTTTATAGACTATAAATATTATGAATTTATATTATACTGCTCAACATAGTTAAAATGAAACACAAAATACGACGAAAGTACGATAGGGTTATTTTTAAAAGATTAATTTGTACAGCATTAATGTACAGCATTATATGTTATGATGAAGATAATAATTTATATACTTTAATATGTCGTACTATAAATTATATGTTTTAGTTTAGTATAATTGTTTTAAAATAAGTATAATGCATCTCATTTGAAAATTTATAATAATCGTAAAACTAAAAGTCCTAAACACTGCCACTTTCTTAAGGCAAAAATTTTTACCTCATTCTTTATGATTTATTATAGTCGATACTTATTGCATTTATAATCTTTTAATGAATATTATCCATCTGTATGTAATTATGTCAAGTCAGAAAAAAAAATACTTTAAATGCTGTGAATTATTAAAAATAATTGCATAATAATATTAGTAATAATTAGAATATTTTTCTTATACTCGTAAAAATTTTTTCTTAATTATTATTATATATTCATATCTACCATTATCATATTATATTCGTTTATTATATTGATGTGAATATTGAATGGAGATAAGATATAAGTATTTCCACTTATCGTTTCGAATACGAAAACAAATTCTGTGTGTATAATATTTATAGAAACATTGATTTATTATATCACACGCATAGTTTGCGTATTATTTCACGATTTTGTGAACCAAAAAACATATTTTTTGGCTCATAATAACGAATAAACATGTTAAGTATTTCATGTTATGATAGAAATTATAAAAAATGAAATTCTATTACTTTTGTGTTGTGTAATGATATGCAAAAAAAAAAAAGGAAAAATTAAAAAAGACAAGAGAAATTATTTAAAGATTTAAACAATTTTTCATAAGTATTCTTATAGTTGATTTTCTACTAGTAAAATTAAAAATTTTACGCAGATATATAAAAATATATATATATTATTTTATTATTGCATTTATTATATATTAGATAATAGAATAAATATTATATTTATTCTATTTACGATTTTATTCTATTTTCAAATGATTCAACATTGATTCAAATAATTAAGATATTATTTTAAGAACTATTTTTGAATCTATTTAAAAAAAATATATAATTTTTTTTTCGAATATAAAAATTATAATAATTAACTTTATATGCAGATCTCGATAACATATCATTTAATATTAATAATCAATCAAAAGATATTTGAATTCTAAAAAAAATCTTTAATTTTTAATATACATAATCAAAGCTGAATAAAAATTGTTATGAAAAAAAATATAGAAAAAACCTAAGTCAAAAATAACAATTTGATTTTGAATTTATATAAAATCAATATGTAAATAACAATATATAAATAGATATAAATAATCATATAAAAAAATATACATTTAAAAGAAAAATTTTTATATGATAATCTTATAAACTTTGTTTTTATCACAAATAATATTTAAATTAAATATAAAAAATTGAAATCAAAAAAAATATTACAACTATTCCATATATATTCTATTAAAACACATTGTTAAAATAATATGTTTAATCGATAGTAATTATAATAATAATTTTCTTTGTGAAATTCTAAAATCAAAATATTAATTAAACTAAGTTTAATGATAAATAAAATAAAAATAATAAAATTAAATATATTCATATAAAAAAAATAAAAAAATAAATGTAAATGAAATTCTTTAAAAAATTTCAATTTCATAAAAATTTTTTATCGATTATTCTGATTTATATCGATTTTCTTAATTATATCTAACAAATTATTATTTAATACATTTTTCATGTCCAATTCATTGCATTTCATACATTATATTCATTTTTCATTTGTAAAAGCAAACATAGTAATAATATTGTATTGAATATGTTACTTTTATATATTATGTTCTTACACATAAATTACTAATTTGTTTTACGAACCGTTTAAATGTATTGAATAATAATTAATATTATATTCAAAAAAATTAAATTAAAAATAAAAAAAAAAAGAAAAATATTTATTTGTAATATTTATATCATAATTTTAATTAAGAAAATTTTATTCATTATTTATATTTATAATATATTTATATTATTACAACATGTATGTATTTTAATTATAATTTTATATCATAAATTCAAAATTTCTGATAATAAATTTTCAATCATTTACAATATTATTTTCACCTAATGTTACTTTTGACTTTGGTTCTTTCTAATTCAAAATTAAAAAAAAAATTTATTATTTTAAAACTATGATTTCATTTAATTCAATTTGTTGATATTTTGATATTTATTGTAAATAATAAATTTAATTATGTAGAATGATATATTTAACACAAAAATGTATACAAATATAGTATCATGAATTACATTTAAAATGCATGTATTTCATAAAATATTTATAAAAATGTGATATTAAATATATGTGACATTTTAGCATATTCTA